CACGTGTAGGTAAAAGCTCCACGAAACCTGGAATCCCAACAGTTGGTGACGCAATCAAAAGCTTAATTCTCAGAGTTCAAGTACGCAATAAATAAATAAAATTTTAGAAAGGGAATTGAGAAACAGACATCGTCCCAAACTGACGCTCTTTCATGCGCTGCCGAGAAAGAAATCTCCCGTCTTAGATCTGCCGAGAACGCCGTCCTCATCATCCTTTCCGTCCTCGTTTTTTGCGGTTTCATTCTTTGGTTCTTTTCCGGCTTAGGTTCAAACACCATCCCTTCTTTCCCATATAATAGTTGCATTTTTGTTTGCTTGGTTGTGAAAGTTAGATCATTGTTGGGTTTATGATTGTCTACAATCTAGGTTTAAAAAATTGGTTATAAGTTAGTGAAATAAATTGCTTGCCTTGACGAGAACCAATAATAGTAGTTCGAAATTGAAATATACTGATTGATTGTTAGCCATATCTGTATGTTCTTTTGATCGGCCAAGGCATAAAAACTGGCAAGCTTTGCACTTTAAATCCTCTTGTTGGTTATTAAGTTATTTTGGAGTTTCTGTTTTCATTTAGATTGATAAATTCTTATCGGATTTACTTATTTTCAGTTGCAGATATTAGGTAGATTAAAGTTAGAACTTAGATATTTAGGTAGATTAAATTTTATAGCTTTCTTATTACTTGGGTGATTTATTCTTATTAGTTATTTTGTTTATCTGAGGGGCTTTGATTTTCTCTGAAGAATTATAAGTTGGGTTAGGTTTTTGAATATTAAAGTTTTATTGGGAAAATTTGTGAGAAGTTGCTATATAGAATTCGGTCGTGTTTATTTAAAGGGTTCTTTTAGCAATTAAATATATTCATAAATATTTACCCCGCATAATAATAAAAATCAATATTATTCTATTTTATTCCTTTTTAACACTAGGCTTTTAACAATAATAATAACAATAGTATTATATAAATTAAAATCCTATTTAGTAATCAACTAGGCTTCTTAGTACCCCTCAAATCTCTAGCGTTTTATTGGTGCATCTTCTGTCTTCTTCGGATTCCTTTTTCATAGTTCCTCATAGCTTCGGCTATAGATGATTACTTGAGGTCATATCCTTCTTTTAGAGCCCATAGGGCGAATAGGGAGAGGGCTCGACAGAGTGGTGTCAAGGAGATTATACTTAGAGTTTGTACGTTGAATGTAGGCACATTAAATGCTAGGCTGCTGGAGCTAACCGACGTACTAAGTAATAGGAAAATAGATTTTGCATGTATTCAAGAGAATAGGTGAAAAAGGGCTCGCGCCAAAGAGTGTAATGGGTACAAGTTGTGGTATTCAGGCGTAGATAACGCTAGAAATGGGGTGGGTATCTTGGTATCCTCTAGGCTCAAGGAAAATGTAGTTGAAGTTTGTAGATACCATGATAGGATCATGATGATTAAGGTTATTATAGAAGCGGAAGTGTTGAATGTCCTTTCAGTGTACTCCCCACATGTTGGCCTAGGGGAGGGGGAGAAATGTTGCTTCTGGAATTTGTTAGATGATGTACTTAGGAGCATTCCAGAGGACCAAAGAGTTTCCATAGGGGGAGACTTCAATGGCCATATAGGTAGTGCAATCGACGGGTATGACGGTATTCATGGGGGTTTTGGTTTTGGTAGTAGGAACGAGGAGGGGCGTATATTGCTTGAATTTGCTACTGCACACGATATGGTGGTCACAAACTCCTTTAACAAGAGAGATGTGAACTTGATTACGTTCCATAACGGGGGACATTGTAACCAAATCAACTACATCCTGGTTCAAAATCGGGATCGATGGGCTTGCATTGACTGTAAGGTGTCCCCTGAAGAGGCACGTGCGTCACAACACAGATCGTTGGTTTTGGTGTTCCGCGTACGCCACGTGCGGAGCACTTATAGGAGGGATAAACTTGGTAAACCTAGGATCCTTTGGAAGAACTTATATGGAGCGACAACAGATGACTTTAGGAGTAAGGTTTTGTCTCATACAGGTTTTGAAACTACAAACTCAAATAATACAGATATGTTATGGAAAAATATGACAAATTCCATCAGAGAGGTGGGCAAAAACACCCTTGGGTTGTCGACAGGGAAGGTCAAGGAACATAAAGAATCGTGGTGGTGGAACGATAAAGTCCAAACTAAGGTGAAGACAAAGCGAATTTGCTTCAAGGAGTTTCTACAATGCAATGACGACGAAGAAAGATCGAGAGCTAAACAAAGATACAAGGAGGCAAAACAGAAACCAAGAAAACAATGGCTAAAGCAAATGATAAGGCATACGAGGAAATGTACAAAAGATTAGAACCAAGGAAGGACAAAACGACATCTTCAGGCTTGCAAAATCCAGGGAGAATGGAAAAAATGATCTAGGTAGCATTATGTTTATTAAGGACGACAATGGTGTTCTTTTAGTGAAAGATCATGATATTAAGAGGGTTTGGGGTAGTTACTTCCTTGGCTTATTTAATGACGATGCCTCTCTTGTAGAGATAGTACCGTTGATGGGTCAGCCGACCATCATACTACGACCAATGACTGCCCTACAAGTAGGATTAGGATTGAGGAAGTCAAAATGGCTTTTAGAAAGATGGTGAGGGACAAAGCTGTCTGTCCAGATCAAATTCCTATCACTGTGTGGTTGGCCCTAGGAGAAGAGGGAGCTAAGTGGTTGACCAACATCTTTAATATTATTTTAGAGACTGCCAATATGCCAGAGGAGTAGAGAGAGTCTACGGTGATACCAATCTATAAGAATAAAGGAGATCCCCAACGTTGTGATAACTACAGAGGTATTAAACTACACAGTCATACCATGAAGCTATGGGAAAGGGTGATAGAGGTTAGGTTGAGACATGTTACTAGGGTTTCGGAAAATCAATTTGGCTTTATGTCAGGCAGGTCTACTACGAAGGCGATTCATCTACTTCGACGGCTTATGGAGAAATATAAGAAAAAAATAGAGATCTTCACATGGCGTTCATTGACCTTGAGAAGGCGTATGATAGCGTTCCCCACGATACGATATGGAAGACCTTGGAAATGAGACGAATCCCAACTGCTTATATCCGGGCGATTCGTGATATGTACTGTAGATCTACTACATACGTCAGGACTACAGTTGGCGACACCGAGGCATTCCCGGTGGAAATCGGACTCTACCAGGGGTCATCTCTTAGCTCTTCCATCTTCGTCTTGATTATGGACGACATCTATTGTGCGACACCAGACGGTGTTCCATGGTGTATGCTTTTCGCTGACGACATTGTCCTAGTTGCTGAAACAAAAATTGTGTTGAATAGTAAACTGGCTACTTGGAAGACTGCTTTAGAAGTAAAAGGTCTAAGGATCAATATTGAAAAGACAGAGTATTTATGTTCAAACTTCAGTGGGAACCAAAACGATGAATATGTAGAAGTATGCATAGAAGGACACGTTCTCCCCTCAAAGGATTGTTTCAAGTACCTAGGGTCTATGATACATAAAGATGGGGGTGTAGATGATGACGTTACACACCGTATAAAGGCAGGATGACTAAAGTGGAGGGCTGCTACTGAAGTCTTGTGTGACAAGAATGTGCCTCTAAAACTTAAGGGAAAATTTTATAGAATGACAATAAGACCAGCGCTGCTGTATGGATCAGAATGTTGGGCAATCAAGAAGGATCACGTAAGGAGGATGGAAGCCGCAGAAATGAGAATGCTTCGATGGTCATGTGGTAGGACTCTGTGGGACATGATACCAAACTCTACAATTAGGATGTCCTTGGGGGTGGTGTCTGTATCCGAAAAATTGAGGGAGGGAAGACTATAGTGGTTTGGGCATGTCCTTAGGCGACAACCGTCGGATGCGGTCAGCAGGGTAGAGTTGATTACAGTCGACGGTGCCAGAAGGAGAGGACGACCAAGGAGGAAGTGGGTAGATTGCTTGAGATCTGATTTGAAGGATTTAGCCATTACCGAGGACATGACCTCTGATAGGAAAGTATGGAGACTTAAGACCAGGGTAGCCGAATAGTGTGGGTCACAACCATAGGGTGTAACATTCCTGTCTTTTTTTAATGTCTTTGTAGTAATTTCGATGACTTCTATTTTTTATACGTTTCTGTCATTGGAATTTATGAAGGCTTAGAACTAGGGTAGCGGAGTAGTGTTGCATTAGTTTAGGTTTTAACCCATTTGACTTTATTCCTTTTGTAGCTTGCTATCGTTGACTTCTGTGTATCATTCTCTTCATGCTTTCTCTTTTTAAATTTAGCCATGTCTTACGTTTCTGTCTATATGTAGAGATTTTTTCGCAGGGATTTATTTGTAGGGATTACTTTCCATTTCAGACGCGTAAGAAGACTGTTCAACTATGTATTTATTTATGTAATTATGCATGCATTGTATTTTATCTTTATTTTTAATTTTCTGACTGCCGGAGGTCTTCCACGAAAGCTTCTCTCAACCTGGCGTTGGGGACAACCTACTATCCTACCTCCCCTTACTCCCATTGCATATGGGAATAGGGTTTTGTTGTTGTTGTTGAACAGAGAAATAGATGAACCTCTTCTTTAGTGTTATTATACTGAGAAATGCACAGAAACTAGATTGACTCTCTCTCTTACTGATTTTGATTTTCTCTCTTGGAAAGTCCCCGGAATTTAGAGTTTTTGTTTCTCTTCTTCACGGTTAAACGGGTAAGTGTCCTTTTCAATTTTAATCCCCTTTTGTTATTTGGCATCTTAATTTCTGTTTGTTTCCAGTTGTTTTTTCTTTTGCCTTTTTTGGGTAATTTTTAAAGTGGGATTGGAACTAGTTTATAGGGTGTCGAGAATTTTGTATACATATGTGGTCAAAGTTTTGTGTTATTGCTTTTTGTGCTTGCATTTCTCTTTTCAAACTAAGCTTTGCTTTATTCTTCTGATGAATGTGGAGATTAGTTCTTTCCCTTTTTGTGTTTTCATTGTGCTTTGCTTTGTTCTGTTCTGTTCTGTTCTGTTACTCACATGTGCCATTACGTAAGTAAGAATAATTTGCTTTTTCTAAGAACAAATTTCCATCTGAGTTTTTATGGAAGAATGCAATCAAATTCTGTAGATGGAAGTCAATTAGAACCTGAGGTGCATGGTGTTCATCCAACTGCAGTTTATTCTGAACTAAAGTGGCCTAATGTCGTTTATGGTTCCATCTCCACGGGATTGAGAGGAGTAAACTCATTAAATTTATCTTCAATGGAATGCTCTAATGGTTCAGGGTAAAATGATGGGCATTCACTATCCAACGGTGGGCTGAATGAAGAGGATGGTGTTAATAAAGAAACACAAAATACCGCATCCTCTTGGGCAGGTATTTCACATCCTTATTATAGTAAATATCTTTAGGAAATAATTACTAAAATGATGTTAGTAATACAAATGGGAAAGTCTCTACGAAGTTTGTTTTGGGTCATACTCTTCATCATTTCTTGACTTCCGAGATTGAACATGGATCTATAGATGGTTTAAATTATATATTGTTTTAGGTTCTGTTTAGCGTTTCTACTGTTACATGTAAACCATCAGTTCTTGTCAAATGTGTTTAAAGTATTTAACTGAAAAATATAATGGTTCAGTTAAATATGCTGTAGTTTTCCAGAATACTAGAAGACATTTGGTCTCTCTTGACTTGTATGACCGTATGTAAAAGTAATATGTGCTATGAAGTATTTTCCGTGCTCTCTATAGAGCTTTAGCCACCTAATATGTTGGTATTACCGTCTGTCACTGATTATTCTTTTCATACAAGAGATTGGTGGTTGATGGGTTGCCAATCATTTTCTTCTATTCATTTGCAGTTGGAAATGGCGGACAAGAACATCACGATTTGCAGTTTGTTGCATCTACTGTACCCGTTATGCGTGATGAAGGCCTCACGCAGCCTCCCCTTCTCGAGCTTGTTTATCATTCAATTGTAAGTGCCTGAGGCCCAAGATTCTGTTCTGTACAGTTAGGGATCTCGTTGTTTCAGTACTTTTCGTTGAAGGATTCCTAGTTTTCTCCCAATCCTTTTGCAGGCATGTGCATCAAATCCATATATGGATCCACATTATGAAGGAATGATGGCAGCTTATGGACATCAGCCTTTGATATTGGAGCTTTGGTCTGTCTATCAATATGATTATGATCTAATATAGATGCTTTCTTGTATTTTGATTTCATCATTTTCCTCTTATTAATTTTATCTTGAATTTTTTCTGCTTGTAGATTTATTTCTGTTTGTTTTTATCTTTTGCATGAAACCATTCTCTTGAGACATCGAGGTTACAATGATGCTTCAAAATAGATTGCAGTTTTAGCTGGTGATTATAGTACGGATTTGTCATGACTAAACAAATGCATATATTATGCCATTCCACTTAATAAACATTTCTGCTGCCTAACTTGCATTTCCGAACACAAAGCATAATCATTATTTTCTGGATGGAAAAAGGAACTTGCCTGTTATTTTCTTCCTTGCTCATTTTTCAGCATGTTTGTACACATGTTCTCTTCAGTGTTGTCGAGGGTTTTTATACACTTGAGGCACAAGAAGCAAAAAATGTGCTTTGCCCGAGCTAAAATGGTAGTATGTATGTGTGTTTCCTTACCTTGCGTAGGGTTAGCTTACCAAATTTAAATGAAGAAACCTGGTATGATTTTGAATTTCTAGTTCTTTCCAAATTCTTTATATTTAGTTCATCATCTGTCCATGATATTGCATTTGAATTTCTGAGGTACAAAAAGGAAAAATGGTTGGTGAAACATCGATAAGAGAAAATGGCTGCCTAAGGAACAATGTCTGTCGTGTTTTTGCATGGTAGATTGGAAAGATTTCTTTTCCTTACGTGGACTCTGGATTAGTTAGTGGTTTATTTCCATCCATTGACTTGCCTTTCTCCTCTTTTTCTTCCCATCTTTGTGGAGTTTTGGGGATTGTTGATGTCATAACCATTTTTTAGGTGGAACAATTAAATATTATTTTTAAAACGATTATGACTTTTATTTTGAAAAATTGAGTATTTTGGATTAATTTGGATTAAATTGAATAGAGTCGCCATCGACCTTTGGGTTAGGTAGGTCGAATACCTAAAAACGTCTTTTTAAAAGAAATTTAAGAAAATCATTTTTTTAAGACAAAATGGTCTACATTACCAGAAATCAAATTTAACGGGTTCGGGAGTCGGTTACGTGTGGGGAAGGGTAAGCACCCCCACAGCGCCCAAAAATGGTACTGTGTCGCGTACACATTGTCGTAAATGATGGAAATGATAAATCGAATATAAAATTAACCTATGATCCATTTATTGAGATTTATTTAATTTGCCTCGAATTATTTAAAGAAAATCCTTTGACTCAATCAGAAATCTTGAAATTTGCAATCCTCCGTCGGGAAAGCTATTTCAACCATTTCTCATTCGTAAAAGAATATTCTACCATTGATTATGTTAAAAATACAAATCGAATATAACTAAAAACAATGTTTACATACGAATAAATTGATTAACTAAAAACGTGAATTGAATACAAATTAAAAATTTTGAAATTTACATTCACATAAAATAAAGTAAATTGTCACTTAAAATAACACACATTGCATCGTTTGAACAAATTAATTAGCAAAATATACTCAACTTATTTCAAGTTTCTATGTCGTTAAAATGCCGTACCGGATCACACCACTTCGACCAAGTGGTACTTTCCACGCTCATTCTACGCATATGTATTCTTGAAAATAAAATCGAAAATCAAATATTTCATACATAGATACAAATATAATGAGAATAAATGTAATTGGAAATACAAATATTTACATTAAATGGAATTAAACACATTATTTACATAATACAAATAACCGAATAACAAGTACAATAAAATCATACCTAAATGAATAAAATAAAATATTATAGATCTAAACACAAATATAAATAATCACATTTGATTTTAAGGTACCAAAATAAAATAATAAAAACCTAAAGGAATAAATAACAAATAAAACAAATAATCCAGGGCCAAGAACAAAATATTAAACAGTATGCAAATCATACACAAATAAGATTAGGGACCAAGATGAAAATAATAGAAACTTAAAAGGCTAAACAATAATTATAAATAAAGAAGAGCCCAGATAGCAAACATTAAATAATACATGAACCAGAATATAAATAACCCATAAATAATACTTAGGACTAGATTGCATTAAAATATAAACATGAAGGCTGAATAAAAAAATTAAACCAAAAGTAAAACAGTGACCAAAATGAAAGATTTACAAATGTTGCTGTCAAATTCGAACATAAAAAAACATAACATATGATCAGTGACTAAAATGTAAGATACATAAATATCATATCCAAATTCGAACGTTCACAAAAATAAGCAATACACAAAAACCCGTGACTAAATTGAAATAATTATAAATATTGGGACCAAAGTTACATATAACCAGAATAGCATAACAAGTAATAGCAGGACTAAAATGTAAGGAAGGAAAAATAAAGGCTCGAAATCAAATAATATATAACTTCATTATATGGCTTAATAATTATATTACAAAGAGCGGGGGGCTAAACGTGTAGTTAACCCAAATGATGAAATTACAGATTGGTCCCCATTGAAACTACGTCGTTTTGGTTTGTAGATATAAGCCCAAAACCAGCTTAATTTCTTCTCCATTTCTCATTTTTTCGTTTTGACAAAAATCAGAGAGAGAGAGTGAGAGAGAACTCTCTCAACTCTCTCATCGGAGGGAAAACCAACTGCCACCGCCGGTGGCGCTCACGGCGGCACTCGCGGTGGTCGACGGTGGCCGGAGAGAGCGAAACTTCTCACAACGTTCCTCTCTTAGCTCTCAACCCAAATCTAAAGTCCCCTACCCCAAAATCCAAACAGAAAACCCTAGATTTAGGATTTACCTCACGGAAAACCGAGACTCCAACGACCCTTTGGACTTCCGATGGTTCCTCCGATCAAGGTATGGGTTCCCCTCTCTCTGTTTTTTTCTTTCGTATTTTTGTTTGAATGGGATGGATGGTTTTTTCTCTCGGTTTCTTTCTTTTCTTTCCTCTGTGTATTTTTCTCTTTCTTTTCTTTTTTCTTTTGTTCGAATCTGGTATGTTCTTCTCTATTTTTTTCGTTTTTTTTCTCTCTCCCAACCCCAAAAAAACTCTCTCTTGTTCTTCTTTTCCTTTTATTTATGCATGTGTGATGGTTGATGGATGATAGCTTTGTTTGCTGCCCGAGGAAATAGGGCTTGAGTGCCCTAGATTTTGTAGACCCGATTTTCCTCGGGATCTCTTGTCCTTGTTTTGATTTTTGATTAATTTTTTTACTGTTGAGAGCTTTTGGTCACTGTTTGGTGCAGGTTTGAGAACGGCGGTGAATCGGTGGCTCGAAAATGGCTTACACGGTGAAGGGAATCCGGCTTGAGCGGCTCGGGAACTCGGCGACAACTCGGCTCACGGTTGGAAAGTTGAGAAGTTGAAGGCGGCGGCGCTGGAAAGTTGAAGAGACAGTGGATGAGCTTCAGTTTAGGGTTTAGAAAACCCTAAAATTATTGGGTTGTCATATGTGGGTGGGATCCCAGCTGTTTGGGTCAACAGCTTGGGGTTAGTCTGCTGGTAAACTGGGCCTTGGATGGCTAGTTGTAATTGGGCTTCGGATCATTGTTGGGCCTGCAAAATATGTAACATGTAAATTAATAAATATAATAAAATAACGATAATAATAATATAATAATAACAATAATTAAATTAAATTAAATGGAAAAGACCCGGACAAAAACGGGTGTCTACAGCTGCCCCTCTTTGCACATTCTTGTGTTAACAAGAATAGGGCAAAGACGACAAGATGTCACGTTTTTGTCTGGTTCTCTCCCTTTTAAACTTAGAAATTGGATAATGTTGGTTGTTGGGGGCGACACTGCTCATACATGATGAAGAGTTATGGTCGTCTAAAAGTGACAATGTTCCTACATGATGAGGAAATCTGATCAAGGGATGACACTGCTCATACATGATGAAGAGTTCTGGTCATCTTTAGGAGGAGTGATAACACGATTCCTACGTGATGAGGACGGCTGGTTATCTAAGATGACGCGGCTCCTACGTGATGAGGAGGTCTGGTCAGGGGATGACACTGCTCATACGTGATGAAGAGTTCTGGACATCTTTAGGTAGGGCGATAACACGGTTCCTACGTGATGAGGACGGCTGGCTATCTAAGGGTGACACGGCTCCTACGTGATGGGGAGGTCTGGTCGAGGGATGACACGGTTCCTACGTGATGAGGACGACTAGCCATCTTTAGGTGATAACACGGTTCCTACGTGATGAGGACGGCTGGTTATCTATGGAGTTATGGTTTCAAGAGAAACCAAATTAAAGATTTGTTTCAAAAGAAACAAACCCAAAGATTTGTTTCAAGAAAAATAAACTCAAAGATGATATTTTTAAAAAAACTGTCTCGAAAGAGACAAAATTCGTTTCAAAGGAAACGACTCAAATATGGCATTTAAAGGGAATTGTCTCAAGTGAGACAAAATTTGTTTTTAAGGGAAACGTTCTCAAAGATCGGTGTTTCATGGGAAATTGTCTCAAATGAGACAAAATTCATTTCAAGAGAAACGATCTCAAAGATGTTTATTTTGTTTCAAGGGAAACAGATTCAAAGATGGTAAATTTTGTTTCCAAAGAAACAAACTCAAAGATTTTTCTCAAAGAAACTGTCTCGAGAGACAGAAAATTTTGTTTCCAAAGAAACAAACTCAAAGATTTTTCTTCAAAAGAAATTGTTTTAAGGGATAAAACATTGTTTCCAGAGAAACAAGCTCAACGATGATCTTGTTTTAAGAGAAAATGCTTTAAGAGACAAAATTCGTTTCAAGGGAAACGACTCAAAGATAGTTTTATTTTAAGAGAAACAAACTTAAAGATTTTTTATTTCTAGAAAAACTGTCTCAAGGGAGACAAAATTTGTTTTAATAGAAACGATCTCAAAAATGGGTATTTTCAAAAGAAACAGACTCAAAGATGGATTACATCTTAAGTGAAACCAAATTTGTTTCAAATGAAACAATCTCAAAAGTTAGTTTTTCATTTGAAACTGTCTCAAGAGAGACAAAATTTGTTTTCAAAGAA